AGCTTGACCAGCATTGGTTGAAGGTCGGGAAGGAGTGGCGTGCTTCTACTTTGTCACGTGACGTTTGTCAACCGACGCGTGCTGACACTGTCCCTGTTGTTCGAAGAGATGCTGTGATGCCAAGACATCAACACATTAACCAAGATGAAGTGAGCTGAAAAGTGATTCCAGCAAGATGACTGAGCAGAGACTCATTTTACCAGCATTGGTTGATGGTCGGGAAGGAGTTGCGTTCTTCTCTTACTTGGACGCGTGGCTTTTTGCCGTTGACATGCTCGCTATTGCTCGACACGGTGCTGTGATGACAGGACATCAACACAGTAACCAAGATGAAGCGAGCAGAAAAGTGACTCCAGCAAGATGACTGAGCAGAGACTTGTTTTAGCTTGACCAGCATTGGTTGAAGGTCTGGAAGGAGTGGCGTGCTTCTACTTTGTCACGTGACGTTTGTCCGCCGACGCGTGCTGACACGGTCCCTGTTGTTCGAAGCGATGCTGTGATGCCAAAACATCAACACATTAACCAAGATGAGGTGAGCTGAAAAGTGATTCCAGCAAGATGACTGAGCAGAGACTCATTTTACCAGCATTGGTTGATGGTAGGGAAGGAGTTGCGTTCTTCTCTTACTTGGACGCGTGGCTTTTTGCCGTTGACATGCTCGCTATTGCTCGACACGGTGCTGTGATGACAGGACATCAACACAGTAACCAAGATGAAGCGAGCAGAAAAGTGACTCCAGCAAGATGACTGAGCAGAGACTTGTTTTAGCTTGACCAGCATTGGTTGAAGGTCTGGAAGGAGTGGCGTGCTTCTACTTTGTCACGTGACGTTTGTCCGCTGACGCGTGCTGACACGGTCCCTGTTGTTCGAAGCGATGCTGTGATGCCAAAACATCAACACATTAACCAAGATGAAGTGAGCTGAAAAGTGCTTCCAGCAAGATGACTGAGCAGAGACTTGTTGTACCATTATTGGCTGAAGGTCGAGAAAGAGTTGCGTTCTTCTCTTGCTGGGACATGCGGCCTTGCGCCGCTGACATGGTGCAATTGCTCGACACGGCGCTGCGATGCCGAGACATACAAAAGCAATCAGCCAAATTGAAGCAGGCGGCAGGCTGTTTCTGGCAAAGCTCGACACAGACATTGCTGCCTTGCAGGTAGCCGGAGTGGGCGAATGTTATGCGGTTAATATCGTCCTTAAGTTGCGCTGTCACCCAGCGGTTAGCAGGACCCCGCATGTTGGGGCCTGGCCTGGGAGCGTAGCAATCTAGAAGAACACCTCATTCCGACACCGGTGCGGGGCATAGGCTTGTTTGGCCAACATGTGTGGAGGAAGCTGCAGACAGACTGTTTATGAAACGAAGTAGCAGACCGTTTCTGGGTCGGGTTTCCACTGTTCACGAGACGTGTTGAGTCGCTGTTCGCTCCAGGAGCTCCAGCACTTCGAGGCCAGCTCTGTGCAGACTTCCAGCGGGTAGTAGGTCTCGCATAGTAGAGCTGTTGCACCACGTTCCCTCTGGATTTTGTGCCGGCTATGAGGTGCAACGGCAAATCCTACAGCGCTGCCCGCTTCTGGATTGACCAGTTACCAGACTGCCGACGAAAAACGGCGAATGCGTCCTCACGCAAACAAGTTGATGATGCCAGGCTTGTTCATCGGGGTCGGTGTCACGTGCCAGGATAGTCCGCGGCTTGCGGCTGGTTCTTCGCATGGTCTGCCAGCTTAAACGTAGTATTGCTGAGAAACGCGCAGGAAGGTGCAATCGCCAATCATGTTGGCTTTCTTGTCGTTTAAGACACTTACGGTTGAAGGACGAAGGGTGCCTCGCTGCTCACTATAGATTCGTTTGTGCAGTGATATGCTCTGATGTTGATGTGCTGCTGTCACCCGTTGCTTGTTGGCTCCGAACCCCGACAGACTGTATCGATGGCTCACGAGCCTCGTCTCGCAATTGGTCTGAGTGAAGCTTTCTGCGTTGTTCAAAGCCATTCACAACACGACTTCAGTAGGATCGACAAACGATATTGCACGGTCTGGTACAGCTTCGTGCGGGCACAATCCTATCCAGGCTGGTTCTTGTCACAGCTGCTCCGAGAAGTTCTTGCTTACAAACACATTATTCGGTGGAAAATGACCATCTCGGCGTGATGAAGGTAGTTCAAGGCGACGCGGGGCACCGAAAGCATTTGTCGGGGCACCTTGCCCTCCCGGCATTCCAGCAAGAAGACGTACTGAGCCCGCTTGACATCTAGCTTCATGAGACCTGCTACGAACAGCAAGCCGTAACCCGATGCGACGGGAAGCCTACATGCTGCCAGGGACGTCAAATTTGCTAGCGAGTGTCATGATGACTCCTTGTGCATGTTTTTGCCAGCTGCGACAACTTCATCACCTAATCGAACTCATTGCTTGGACATGCTTGGAAGGTAGCTGTCACGTCGCGAGACTGACCGAGGAATGATTGCGCCTTCATGGCCGGGAAGCTGGATCTGAGGCCTTCAGATCCTGGGGGCGAGGGGTACTTCGATCGTTTAGAAAGTCCGATATCGGCCTAGCAGTGCCGAAACTCAGAAACGACATTGCCTTGCCCCATCCGTCAACTGTCACGCCGCGTGGCAGCATGCATCTCAACGCGCCGGCTTGAAAAGCCATCCCATCCCCTCTGGAGTTAGAATCCCATAGAATGTCTAAATCCTCCGGGCCCAAGAAGCTCAGGGAAGCAAACCGCCTGATATTTCAGGATGAATAACGATGACCACGAGAGGTTCAGTTCGGCAAACCTCGAAGGGCGTGGGAAGCAGTAACTTCCAGGCAAGACTAAGTAAGAGTGGATAGAGGTTGAATTTATTTGTACGTCACGTGCATCCAGAGCCGAGAGGGCTCGGCCGGCCAACGCGGTGCTGAAAGCCACGGCAAGTCCTTCGCGAGGCGGAAGGCGCAGATAGCTCGCGGGCGTCCCTCTGATCATGGTGCTGATGTGGTCGTCGCCACGCAGCACGAATGTGTAAGGAAGTTGCAGGCGAGTGCAGAGGATTCGCTCTCAGGTGCTGCCCTCTAGAGACTTTGACCTGGACAAGACCATCTTCCGGACGCTGGACCTCTGCCATGCTGAGCTTATTGAGCTTGCAGAGGCAGCAGTGCGAGTTGAGTAGTTCCTTGGCCCAAAGGACACCGCACTGGCTCGCCTGGCTACAAAAGATCGGATGGGAATCGAGGCGTCTTGAATAGAATGGAGCTGCATCAACATTCTGGTGCAGCCTTAGGTGAAAGTGTTGGCTTGGCGTCTTTGCGTGGCCAAGTAGACTACGTTGTGCAGCATTTAATCTGCTATTGCCCGTACGAGGGCTATGGCCTGTACGAGGTGTTCTGGACAGAGGATGCAGCACGTCGAATCGAAGGCAGTGCTCTTGTTGCTGCGATGAGACTTCGAATTCTGGGCCCGTGTGATGCTCTGTATTTGCTAATTTCTGTTGGGCCGGCATCTCTCCGTCACAGGTCCCTGCAGTGTAAGGACACCGTCTGCGAGGTTTAACCAACGTCTGCGCCGGGGCGCGTGCAAGTGGTGCAAGTGCCATGCGCCCGTGCAGGTGCTTTTGCTGCCCTTCCAGCAGCTCCGCCTCACGAGCAGGCAGGGTTCTCAGAGTCTTAGAGCATTCTGCAACGATGTGGTATGTGTAAATTCCTCTATGTTTGTGACATCGGAACAGGCACTGCTGGATTTCATGCTACTTGGCGCTGTCTTTCACCAAACCAAAGCAATTTACGGTGGCTATTGCGAGTCGGGACAGGGGTCTGTCAGCATGTCATTGTGTCCGTATGAAACATGGGTTCAGAATGTGCTGAGACTCTCGCACGAAATTCGCTGCCTCCGTCTGCGCTGTGTCGCTGTGTGTTTCGCTGCGACCGAACTGAGGAGGGATGACTGCGACTTCAGGACTCCGCAAGCTGTATTTGGTCATGTAGGGATCCACGGTCATGACTTGAGAAGCCGAACCACTCGCCGGGCAATGTTGGGGCGTGCCCAGGATGGAACATGCTGATGGTTCATTCCTCGATCACCTGCAGTTTTGCTACGAATACTGCGCAGCTCACTTTGAAGGCCATTCGCCCCGTGTCTTATTCTTGCACCCAGGCAGCAGTCGGCAAGAAGTTGGCGCGAAGGAACTACTCTGTTCATAAATTTGCCTGCCAGGCATAGCATCATGGGAGTTGGCACAAATTATTTCCCGATGAAGCTGGAGCTCGTGCCAAAGTTGCAGACGCTCGTGTCGGATGAGGACTGGAACAGTGCACACATCCTTCGTGTCCAAGCCTGCTTGATGCATGCAGTTCCTCTGTTGTGAAAGCTGGGCATGGGGATCTACTGGAAGTTCTTAGTTACCGAAGCGCCCCCTCGAGGGCATACCTCAGGATACCTCAGGCACATATTCAGGGCTTGTTGTTGCAAGCTGCCCAAGTGGTAAGAACTGCGAGCTCAAGGATTGGTCTAATCAGAGACAGTGTGCTTGTATGGCTTACACTGCCAAACTGTAGAGTGGTTGATTAGTGTTGTTCCAAGATTCACATTTGCTTCATGAGCATACAGCACATATCAAGCAAAATCTTACTCCTACAGAATCGTTTCATGTTCATGGTACGCCACGCCTAGTTGAATAGTCTGTTCTCTCTCGACCCCCAACCAGGCGCTCTTTCATCCGTCACCGCCTTCACTTTGGGCATTCTTGCTCACCGGCCACAAACAGTTCATTGCACCCTTTGCTGATTGCTTCATCCCTGTTCAGCTCCTTGGGTGGGGTGTGCCGGTGCGAAAATATGTGTAGTTTGTGCAAGTGCGCCTTCATCGGAGCGAATTCATGTACACGCCGTATATCGGGGCTGCGGCAGCACATCAGGAATGACATCGAACTTTGCATCAATGCTTGACTTGCAGGGTTGGCGTTGCAGGAGGTGCTGTACTTGTCAAGAAGCCTTAGTGCAGACCCTGCTGCAAGGAGTTCAAGCATATCGAGGCATGAGCCTGCGCAGTTGATGATCTGTTTCCTACACGAAGCACTTTGCCACGAAGCATCTCAAGTTCTGCTGCATATCTATTTAAAGGTCTATGTTGCCAGGCATTCCCCAGCGTATTGCGCCTGCTGCTGCACTTCGACTTCGTCCAAGAGCTCGAAAGTCAAGGCACGGACCTAGACAGATGTCCATTTACTTGTACACACCGTATTCCCCAGTTTTTGGGAGTGTCTAGCATCCATGAAGTCGCACGCACGTTGCATCTCTGAGCTGACAGAAGGTGGTCGTGTTGGAATAAGTTTCTCCTAGTTCCGGCTGTAGGTATGTGTTCATGTCAACTGCGATGCTGCAGGCTTTGCAGGTTGAGCTTCATGCTGATGGCATAGGTGGGGTCGATTCAACATGATTTCAAAAGGGGTGCCTGGCACTTCCACGGCTACTTGTCCAAAAGAGTAATTCTGCTTCAGGTCCTGGACGATTGGCGCAGGATTTTGGGGGAGTCTACTTCCACCGCGTGCTGGACAACAAGTGTCTGGTCAAGAACAGAGGGTTAGAAGGCTCACAGCACACAAGGGGATTAAACTGATCAAAGGCAGGCTAGCTAGAATCACGATGAATCACACATAGGGCAGCCGACGTACGTGTGTTCATGTGCACAAAACCCTTCTGCATGCGGGATGTAGGCGGACTTCACGTTTGATCCGAGACTACCGATGAAGATGCTTTCCCAGCAACTTTGGGCTCAAACCATCCAGTGCCACACTTTTTTGGTTTCCAAGGCTGGGCGGCGTCGACTTATTGGCAGGTTTAGTTTGGGGGCTGAGGCTTTAGGTATTCATCAGTCAAGTTCCATGTTCAAGCCGACGTGGGAGGTTGAACCTGCGCTGCTGCGGAGCATGTCGCGCAGATTCCAAGTTGCAAAGGCACCTCAGAAAGCACATTCACACATGCCCCACAGCTTGATAAAACTTGGGCTGTGGTGGGACGGGAGCCGATGAGACGTCATAGAATAAGGAGCACTGCTTTGTGTTGGTGTTGGTGTTGTTGTTGTTGCTGTTGCTGCTGTTGTTCTTGTAGCCGCCACGGACCAGACGGCCGCGTAACTGAGGCTTTCGAAGAGGCTGTGGGCCCAACATTCTTTCCTAGAGGTCTCAACTGGGCCCCCAGGGTTACGTGAGCCATGTGCCTCCTTACTTGCTGAACGTCTGGTCTGCCGGGTCCCAATTCCCGGCCCCTGTCCTCTGTTCAAGACATTGCAGCACCAGGGGGGGGGTAGGGTTTCCACTTGCCGCGCAGTGGAAGGAGCTACTTTGGTAGCGAAAACAGCGGATGGCGTTGCTACCAGTACACTCGCAGAACTTTCCGACTCTGCGTAAGAATTCGTTTAAGAGAGCATGTAGAAAGGTTGTTCA